ATTAAATCCAAAGTTAATGAGCCTTTTTGGGTATCTTGTCGTAGGGGCACGGAGCAGTTCCGCCAAACAAATGTATGCTTACCCCGAATGGAATTTCGGGTATTGTAGGTGAAGAGTGCCCATAGGCAGGCACAATTTTTGTATGTATTGAATGAGGTACTACTACATCTCCAGGGGCCCTCTCGAGGGGCCTCTTCTGTAGGGGTCCAAGTATCTTGGCATTTTGATTCCCCTACTTTGAATCCTGCCCCCTTTTGAGAAACACATACAGAGCCTCTACTTTTTACCACCCTAAGTCTTTCTGAACCGTCATACCTACCGGAGAAATTGAATTGGTGGTCAAAGCCCCAATCCGATAGTATACCTGTCTTGTTGAGGGGGATGGGTACAAAGGGGACTCCTTCCTCAGTAGGAGTGAGCGCACACAAAATGCAACTGTGAGTGGTTAAAGCCCGGGCTGAGTCTCTGAGGAGGGTTACCCAGGAATTTCCCACCCATGGGTTTATAGGTGGGCCCTCACGTTTTGAAATGGCAGTAATTGAGGGGCCACTTACATTGGTGGGAACAGGTTGGAGACTTGAAGGTCGATATTTGAGGATTGTCTTCCAGAGTGCCTGGTTCATCTTGACACACCTAACCTTGTGGCCTATGGTGACCACGAATTCTATCATAATCTCTTGCTGAGGGCAGCAGTAGGAAATGGGAAATAAGTAGGCTTTAGAAATTAAGGACTTTGACTGCTGCAAACGTGAGAAATGCGATACTATTCCCTTCTCTAAGACTGCCTATGAACAGGCTGACACAGCCGCTGGGTTTGATGTACCTAAAAGAGACAAGAGTGTTAAGACTAGGGTTCGCATTTTTGCAAACATAGCTTCAGATCTCCTACTGGTTCACTTGTCCACTTGTCGGCTTTTTGTTCCCGGGTGTTATCAGCTTTCGGAGTGACCACACCCTGGGAGTTGGTGTTCTCCTGACGAAAAAGCTTTACCCTCAAACAGTGAGTCCACTTGTCATTGTTTTTTAAACGAACAGCCGTGTGTGTAGTCAACAACACCTGGTATGGTCCTTCCCACCTTTCCGCGAGAGGATTCTTCTTCCACTTCTGTTCCAGGACTTGGTCACCCGGTTTAAAGTTGTGGATCGGTGTATCAAGCGGGAGGCTCTGGAAGGGTGCAGCAAACCTATGTAGGGAAGACAAAACAGACTGCAAGGCAATAACATGTTTCCAAATCTCGGATTTGCCTAATTTTGCAGTGACTGGTTCTCTCCACCCTGCTGGCAAGACCCTGGGAGACATACCAAACGTTAGTTCAAAAGGTGACAATTTAATCCCTCTTCGTGGTGTACTGCGAATACGAGTTAAAGCCAGTGGGAGTGCCTGCGGCCATTTTAAATGAGCCTCAGTACAAAGTTTTGTTAACATAAGCTTCAGTGTTCTATTCATGCACTCCACTTGGCCTGAACTCTGGGGTCTCCATGGAGTATGGAGCTTCCACTTGATATCTAAAGCTTTGGACACTTCCTGTACTATTTTCCCCACAAAATGACTACCTTGATCTGACTCAATAGATTCAGGCAACAGAAATCTGGGTATTATCTCGTGAAGTAGCACTCATGTTACTGTGGATGTGGTGGCCGTTCTTGTGGGGTAAGCTTCCACCCATCCAGTCAATTGATCCACCAGTACCAGCAGGTATTGGTACCGACCGGATTTGGGCAGTTCAGCGAAGTCAATCTGCCAAGCCT